CTATGGAGAAAACCTTAAAAGAGATCAGAGGAAAAAATAAAGAAAGAAGAGAAGCAGCTTAGAAGCAAGGTCAAAGCACGAAAGAAGATTACTCAAGACTAGGGAAAATGGTGAAGACCAACAGGGAAAGAAGGAAGGAAAAACAAAAATAACAAAACAAAACCAACTAAAACAGTATTCATAATCACAAAAAAAAAAAAATCAAGAAAAAAAAATAGAGGACGAAAAGAGATACTTCTCTGATTTCAGCCCAGTGGTTATCTTCTGGGGTCTATAGTTTTGTGTAGTGTCCAATTCAGGGAATATTTTTGCTGTCAGTGGTAGACAAAGGAGGCAGACAGAGCCCATTCCAGGCTGGATGATCCTAGCAAGCCTGAAGTATGATTATGGTGGGGTACTGATTGTGGTGCATTCAACTCCATAGAAAATCAGGCTGACATGGCCTCTTGTTGTGGGCTTGAGGCTGGAGTCATTTGGCCTGTAACATTCTGGGTGTATTTTGGCAGCCTCACCTCCGCTCCCTCCCTGGAGGTCTCCTGTGGTTGTCCTTTACCCAGTCACTGGGATTTTAGCACTGGGAGCCCTGAGATGAACCCAACCCAGTGAGTCCCCAGTTCAGTTGGCCCCTCCCTAAAATGGCATCTGGCCCATTACCCTCTTCAGGTTGCAAGACAGTTGCTTGAACTGGAGTCACTCACAGCTGCTTTTTTATTTCTTTCTTTTTGATACTGGGAGTCAAACTCAGGACCCTGTGCTTGCTGGGCAGGCACTGTACCACTGAGCTAAATCTCTGGCCCTCACTAGCTGTTTAACACACAGTATCCATTGCTTCATTCTATTGGTATGTTTCTTGCTGGAGGCCTCTGGAGCCACCTACCTTCATTCTGACTCTGTAAGAGTCAGTCTTCCTTTCACACGGGGAGCGGAGAGCCAGGAGACAAGGAGAAAGTAGTTTTTCACCTCCTTTTCTTTCTTCTTTTCTTTACCTCCTTTTCTTTCTTTCTTTCTTCCTTCCTTTTTTTTTTTTTTTTTTCCTTTTGTGGCTGGTTCAGCCCACCCTAGGGGTGGGGCTGGCACAGCATGTGGTGCGGTGGATCAGGGATTGAACTGTGGTCCCTGAGCACTTGCCTAAACAGG